TAGTAGTAGTAGTAGTAGTATTAGTATTAGTAGTAGTAGTAGTAGTAGTAGTAGTAGTAGTAGTAGTAGTAGTAGTAGTAGTAGCAGTAGTAGTAGTAGTAGTAGTAGTAAGAGTAGCAGTAGTTGTAGTACTAATAGTCGTATGATTGGTACCATACGTGGTAGTAGGAATAGTAGTCGTAATCGGAGTTGTAATCGCGGTAGTAGTCGTAAAGGTATAAGTCGTAGTAGCAGCAGGGGTAGTAGTAGCAGCAGGAGTAGTATTAGAAGCAGGAGTAGTCGACGCTGGTAGGCCAACGGACGAAGCAACCATCCAACCAGCCGAGGGCCGCCAACCAGCCAACCAACCAGCCACGCATCTCCTGCAAGGGTTCTGGGGGCAGACGCAATGTTTCCGATGGGGCCCCGTCTGCGGGGCCCCCGCCGGAGGGTCGCCAATCAACCAACCAGCCATTGGCGGCGGTGCTGGCGCAGCCAACATATTATGACCTCGCAGAAGCCTCTCAGAAGCCTCTCAGAAGCCTGTCAGAAGCCTTCTCAGAAGCTTCGGAGAGACAATCAAAGCTTTCGAAGCTTCTCAAAGATTTACCGGGGAATGTCCGAGTTTCCCGGGGTAAGTCCGATTTTGCCGGGAAATATGATTTTCTCGTTCCCGCCCCCCCCCCCCAAGCTGGTTCCCCCCTATCGTTGGCCTTTAGAGGAAGCGCAAACATGGATTCGGGCGCGCGGGTTCGCGACGGGATGCGAGATCGGCGCGCTCCGCCGCCAGATGAGGTGGCATTGGCCTCATGTTTCGATTTCCCGGATCCGTGGACTTGGCACCTGCGCGCCAGACGCACGATCTCCTGATCCATGTCAGCCTGCGCTCGCTACCCGAGAATTGGGAGGGAGGATAGCGTCCGGGGGAGCCAGGCCTCCTCGCGCTGCGAAAAATATCACGACGGGACGTTTTTCTGTTCATTGTCGGCCTCGGGATGCCCTCGCCAGACCCCTGGGGCTGTCGGAAAACGACCTAGGATGAACACGCCGGCCCTGGGGCGCCGGGCCGGGACTTCTGAAATTCCGTATTGAAAAAAATCCAGAGGGGGGGGAAGGGTGAGGAACGAGACGGAGTGGAGGGAGGAACGAAGTCTTTTTCCTCGGCGCAGAATCCAGCTAGCGAAAAATTGATTTCCTGATGCATGACGCCATCATCGTGATACAGAACATTGAGCGGCATCCGCTGCGAGGGACAGCTAGTTTGCATATCTTTACACTCACAGTATACATCGTGCGTGCCAGCGTGGACCCCGAACAGGACGTTATTGCATTGTGGATGTCGAATTAAGCGATCTGATGACAAATATGTGGTGTAAGCGATGTGGTGTGAGTTATGTGGTGCCACCGTGTGGTATGAACTATGTGGTGCAAGATATGTGTTGCAAGTTCCGTTTCGAACGGTCAATACAGTACACAGGCTCCCGCGGGATCGCATCAAGTCAGCCCTTACGGGGCCAGCTCGAGCAGCGGCTATGCGTGCCAGGCAACGCGCAGCGTGCAGATTCTTATCCTGATAATGATACACGAGCCAGGCCTTGACTCCGCTCTCTCCCGCATAGCCACCCTGCTCTCCCAGCCTTCGCTGCACTTCCACCGCGTCAGTCGAGCGGCTGGCGCGTCGTGGGGTGGAGCCCTGCCAGGATGTTGGCCGCCCGCTGCTTGCGTTTCTTGTCGATATCCGTCGGCTTCTCTGGCCACCCAGGACAAACCCGCCCGAGCCCGTCTGTCTTTCCATTGCCGTAAGCGCAGCAGGTTATGCACACGATGTAGCCGTGCACCTGCCTCGCAGCATGAAGCTTGTCCTCCGCACGGTCCGCTCCTTCGAGCGTGGCTGGGCGAGATGGCGCCCTCTGCTTACCGCCTCCTGCCCCCAAGGCTGCACTGTTCGCTCTGGGGGGGCATCTCCTGGCACCGTTCCGTAGGGGACGCTCCTGGCATTTCCTCCGCATCTCCAGCTCGCCCCACCGCCCCTCGGGCCGCTCCGCTGGTGCTGGCCTGCCACCCTCGGCCACCTCATCTCCTTGGACCCGCAACTGCCTGGCGCCGCCTCGCCTGGGCGCCCCCGCCGCGCTGGCCTCAGGCATGGCCGCGGCTGGCCTCTTGCGTTCCTGCCTCCCCTGGCGTCGGCTCTGGGGCTGAGCTGCTGGGGCTCCATAACCTCCCCCGCCCTCGCCGTCGGCCCGCGCGCTGGCCGAGGCTGAGGCTGTGGCCGCCATCGCCAAGGCTATCCCAGCTGCGAGCCCCATGAGCGTGCTGGCTGGGCTGGTGTCGGGGGGGTCTCCCTCGAAGAGGTCGATGGCCTCGGCCACCCCAGGTCTCACCCTGCGCCTGCCTTGGCTGCGGCTGGCTGAGCTCCATCGGTCCCCCGTAAGGCTCTCGCTGGATGGAGCCGTGCTGCTCAGCCCAGGGCCCTCCCAGACGGACGGCTAGCCTGGTTCCTGCACTGCCTCTGGGGTTGCCC